AAAACAGCAAACTGCTTTTGGAGAATAATGTATAATAAATCAAAAATATTTAGACTTCTGTAATTGTCCTTTTCCTGTTTAATGACTTGGGATGAGAGCTGGCACCCGTAAACATACAACAGAAATCCCCCTACTGGACTATATAAACAAGAGTCCACTGATGAGTGCAGTTTTCTCTGTTTTGTGAAAGTTTTCCTGCTGAAACTGATGTAAACATACTGCTAGAAGTGATTAGCAACAAACAATCAGGACAATCCAGCTTAAAAATAGGCCTGTTAGTGCTCATATGTCAAAGTGAATACATTTTAATGTTAAAAATCAAAGTCTTTTGTACCACCCAGTTGATTCCACTAATTCATTCTACCTGCTAACTTGAGCTAAGTAGCTATTTTTAACTTGGACTTTTTGACTGTAGAATCTAAACTATCCGCTTTGTCTCTTATGTGGAAGTGTTACTGCTGAAACTTCAGCCACGAGACCAGCAGCACCCAGTTTACCCAGCACAGCCAAACCCAGCCGTCACATGACCTCTCGCTCAAACAAAAGATGCTTAATCACACCATGTCCAAAGCAAACAGCTCAAAGTGAGTGTTTCTACTGCTGCCATCACATGCTGCCTACACACCATCAAAAGTTTGGTTGCATTCTGAAATTTCACTGCTACTTTTCAGTGAAGTAACAAAAATGCCTGTAAAGTTTATGTTTAGTTTATCCTATATCAGCGCTGTGCTATTGTGTCGTGTACGCTTTTGTTTAACACTGAGCTTCATGTTCATCAGTGTCTAAAAAGGCTGAAACATTAGCCCCAAGTTAACACACTAGCCTCGAGCCAGCCATGAGCTAATATGTTAGTCCTGATCTAATATATCTGATCTAACACATTTAACTCCAGGCTAACACTCATGACACTGAGCTAAATTGCCAGCCCCAAGCTAACACAAACATAATATGTTATTCCCATGCTAAGATACTAGCCCTATGCTACACACCAGACCTGAGCTTATATGTCAGTCTCGAACTAACACACTAACATTGAGATAACAGACTAGTCTTGAATTAACATAGTAGCCACAAGCTAATGTGTTAGTCCTGAGCTAACACACTAGCCATGAGCTAATATGGTGGACATTAAGTACCACATTAACTCTAGGTTAGCACCCTGGCCCCAAGCTTACATGCTAGACCAAAGCTAATGCTCTCTGCTACATGCTATTGTGTTATTCCCATGCTAACACACTAGCCACGCAAAACACACTAGACCTGATCTAACGCTTTAGCATTGAGACAACAGACTAGCCCGAGCTAATATAACTAATCCCAAGCTAATGCACTAGCATTGAGATCACAGACTATTCCTGAGCTAACGCACTAGCCACAAGCTAACACACTAGCCATGATGCAATGTCACAGTATGTTGCAATGCAACACATTAGGATACAATGTATTGATACACTCCTACTAAATAAGCCTGCTTAGGCTTTAATATGGCTGTAAATTGTTACAAACTCACAAAAAAACATGAATTTATCTTAAAATCATTCTGAAAAGCCAGATGTCTGAAATTATCACAACTAGTACATGTGCTTTGAGATGTAATCCAAACCCCATCACACCGTTTAAAGGCCCCGAGCTGGCTAAGAGAACCACAAGTGTTCAATTTAATTAAATTCAATTCAATTTATTTCAATTGTCGTTAATCCCACAAGCGCATAACCAAATGCTTACTCACTGTTCTGTCTTGTGCAACATGCAACGACAGAAAGAACACAGGACACAACAATGTTGCCAAACACAAAATGCACCAGAACTGCAGCACTGCTTAAGAAAAACAAGAGCATTTATTTTAAATAATTTTTGCAAAAAAGAGTCTAGTAAAAGTAAATGAATGAAATAAGATGATGTCATAGCGGGCCACCATCCAATCAGATGCCGTTTATGCAGTTGCTGTATGCTGGTTGTTGTCATTGTTGTTGTTGTTTACAGGCTCTATAACTGGCCCAAATCTGTATGTTTATGATCCATGCAGTTGTTTAGTGTTCTAGACTATCACATACTCAAAAAGAGCATTTTTATGTAGTTTATCACAATAACAATAACATTTTGTATACAGAGGTGGGCAACACAGCAATGTTTTATCGTTATTGTGATATATTTTGGCATTGTAATACACAACACACTTTTCTGAGCATCTCGTGGAGATGGTCCGTACTTAAAAACGTAATTTCATTAAAAAGAGAGCCCTGTTTAACTGGATTGCAGAAACACTGAATAAAAATCACTGTATTCATAGTTTTTGATGGCTGTTTTCAAACACGGAACTACTACAGTTTTGGGTCTGTCAGAATATCATGTATGTGTCTTCAATAAAACTCTTTCAATGTGTGTTGACAAACTCAGCTTTTTTATTAAACGGATAGTTCTGGTCCTAAAATCTAAATCATAAAATATTCATAAAATACTCAACAACAACATAATATGCAAAATAATATGCAACAACAACATAATCTAAAGAAACAACATTTCTTGGTTGAATCATTCTTTATCTCAGTTATTATAAACAATAATAAATTATGTCCTGAGGAAAAAAGTGTATTTTATTGTATTATGCAGTCTGCCATTTTTAAAAGCAGTAAACCGTACGTTACAGTGATTTTATCACAGGTCATCAGGCCTCACATCGTGCCTAATAAGACACTTAACTGTGGTGAAATCACTATAATGCATGGCCTCTTGTGGCTTTTTCTGGTAACTTTATTGCTACTTTGCTTGTTATGAAAGTGAAAGGCCTTTTTGTCAAATGAAAAGAATAAATAATGAACTGAGGAGCAGATAAGAAAAGGGATTACCAAAGGTGTAAACCCTGAATGGTGTAATTCTTGTATTTCGGCCTCGTACTGTGTTGGTGAGTAGGTCAGTGTGTGTGATTAGGAGAGTGTTATGTTCTAGGCACTGGCCACCAAAGCTCTAATTCCCAGAGGTATCAGAGGACCTTAATCTGGGCCTGCACATTGCCCACCCTTAATTGTATATACAGCACATAGAGCGCAACACTCAGCAACGAGAAAAGCATCTACACATAGAGGTGGGCGACATGAATACTATCAAAAACTATGAAAATAATTCTTTGTATTTAACATTTACACACTGTATTGTACTAAATCCAATTAAACAGACTAATTATGCTCACTTTTTAATTAAACATGCAGCTTAGAAGTGATTTCAAGCACTGATGATATCCACAATACACTCTCAGAAGTATACTGTGATGTAATTTATCATGATAACGATGAACATTGTTACATTGCCCAGCTTTACTCACACAGAACATTAAAATAGGACCACATACAAACCGGGGTCATCTTTATACTATGCTCTTAAAAACATTGGTTCTTCAAGGGTTCTATATGGTTGTATATGGTTCTATATAACACCAACATGGGTTCTTCTATTGTAACAAGCTTGACAACATAACAATAGCAGAACCTATTTTGGTGCTATACAGAATAATTTACAATACATTCTCCATCAATCTGAAGAACATTTTCATTATGTAAGAACCATTTAAGCATGCAAATGGTTCACTGAATGTTCATGGTTCTAGATAGAACCACTCTTTTTACTATAGGGGGTCAACTTGACCCCAGCAATTTAAACCTCTTGGAAATATTAAAGTTCTAGTGGGAAATATGTTATCCACCACTATGTGGTGTGAACAATCAATGGTTCTCGCACTAATACAGGTGTGGTTATGTTTGGGTTCTAAAGCATAGAGTAATTTTTTGAAGATTACAAAATTGCATGTTATAGTGACCTCAAAACAAATTAGTGTAAGTTGTTGATTTTTCCCAGGCTTGCTAGCATCTCGTAGCAACAGGCTTTGGGAGGGGGGCAGGGTTAACCAGACCTCATGGAGGGGGTCTAACTCGAGCTATGAAGGGCAACATCGCGGCCCAGTGAGGGTCCAGTACAGCGGGCACTGTTTGCAGCTGTGCTGGGAATAGATGCTGTCTAGCACCATGTTAGCATGACATTCACTGCTGTGAGTGAGTGGGATGTCAGGCACCCGAACTGAGACAGGTTATATTTACATATTTTAAAAGTGTGAATAAAAAGTATAAATACAGTACAAGAATATGCTAAGAAATGTGCTGCGGCGTCGCCACGCAAGTTCAGTTTTTGAAGAAAAGAAATATTTATGTTGGGCTGTTTTAGGACTTTTACACTGAAGAGCCTGAATGTGGGTGGAGTGGTAGGTTTTCTGGAGTAGAGCAGAGCTGTGTTTTCAGCTTTTAGCGCTGGAGAGGCTGTTTCCTCTCTCTGTGTTTGGCACTGTTTTCAGCAAATTATAAATAAAGCTGAGAGTCATCTGAGTTTTTCCAGAGAACACCGGACATTACAGTAGTTTGCAGCTTTATTGATTGCCATTAAATAAAAAAAATGAAAAACTGAATATGAATAGGTGAATGTGCATGTCCAGCTCTACTGCACACAAAGTAGAAGTGGGCGATATGCTCAACATATAATACAAAAAAGCTACATTTAAAAAAAAATACTATTAAAAACAGTGAACACAACATCTGGCACTATATCCAGTTAAAATTTACTAATTTTGCTCTCTTTATAATGAAACGTACAGTCAGTAGGTGTTCTGACGATACTATATGTCCAGTAAAGCATATTGTTTTGTACTGTGATAAATTATATCACGATAACATAGCAGGGTTGTGCAAGACGCACGCAATGGCAAACTGAGGCACCATTTCCAGGGAAAGCCAGTGAGGAAATGATAACTTACTACTATGCAAATACTACAATTACACGTAGCAGTTTAAAGTGACCTCATCTCCAACTGTTTGGGGTAAAGAGAGTCCGGCTGTAAAAAGGGGGGCTCACATTTCTTGCCCTGTTAGAGACCTACTGTTCCCAGCATGACTGTGTGAGAGAGCAAGAGTGTGTAAGAGTGCTGTAACTCATCAGGAGTGAGCACAAAGTGAACCTACCTGCCCTGCTGAGTGATGGCTGCCTCTGGGCTCAGACTCTACGCTCCGGACTGTGGATGTAATTCCATCTGCGGGGGGGACAAAAAGAAGCTTCAATGAAGTTAATGAAGTTAATAAAGTTTTCTGCCCCTGTTTCACAACACCAACAGACTAACAGGAGGACTAAAAAGGCTTCCTTCCGTTTTAAAACGGAGATTAAGAGTATTTAAAACACAGTAGGCTTATTCTCTGAGTTAGAGAGAGAGAGAGAGAGAGGACGAGGAGGAAAGAGAGGAAAAGAAAAGAAAAGAGAGACAAAGTAAAGGAGAAAAGAGTGAAAGGGAAAGAAAGAAGAGAAACAAATCTGCAGCATCGCACACACACAACTAAAAATCTGCACGCAAAGCTGGCTACAGAGGGAGGATTGTCTTAAAAAGTGTACTTCGTTGATGTATGGACAAATGGTGCACGATACAAGTTCACTAGCACTCAAACTACAGTCAACACATCTCTGAAACACACGATCGAGCAAAACAGCCCAGAAACTCAGCTGGAACTCTGACAGTTTTGCGGATAATCGAATGTAAAGCGCAGAAATACCTTGCTCACGAGGCAAATAGGAGCAGGTTGTTTCTCTTTTCCTTCCTTTCAGAAAGTCCTTCGCGACGGTTCGAGCTGCTGCTTTTCTTATTTTAATCTGTTTTTCAAAACTTCCTCTTCGCGCAAACATCCGCACGGAGCGCGAGCGAGAGCGAGAGAGAGATGTTCTTCAACGTTACGAGAGAGAGAGAGAGAGAGAGAGAGAGAGACAGAGAGAGAGAGACAGAGAGAGAGAGAGAGTTATTCCGAGAGCCTGCAGTTCAGCCCTGCTGAGACCAAAATAGAAAAGTGGGCGGTGCCGACCCAAAATAGAGCCTGACGTCACGCGTCCTGCACATCCCTCCTCGCGCGCTGTTGTTTCCCAGCGAGTGTCGCTCACGAGCCAGCATGAGCTTCTCTTGTCAGTGAAGAAGCGCGAGCGCGGCGCATGTACACAGTTCTGACATACGGAACTCTGGATACAGAGCAACATGTGACTCTCAAATATACACTCGTACTACATAAAAAGATGGTTCTCCAAGGGTTGTTTAGTATTTAGAACGATGAGTTCTATATAGAACACTTTTCAAATAGGTTCTGTGTAGAAACATATACAACACATTCTCCATCAATCTGAAGAGACATTTTACCATGCAAAGAACCTATATATATATATATATATATATATATATATATATATATATATATATATATATACACTGTACACTCAAACAAAGTATAACTATAACTGCAAATTATAACTATAACAAAGTATAAATATAACTGCTCTCTACACTGTATGAGCCGAGTGCCTACTAAACTACTAGCCAATAAGGGGCACTTATTAAGGGTCACTTAATCAATCGAAGAACTGCAGGCAAGACTAGGCTGTTGCCTAGTGACTCCAGAGGAGTGCAGTGACCATAATGACCATATCATCATTTATCATTTATCCCTGAATTTCAATGATTCTTGTGTCAGAGCAGAGTTACCTGGAACCGAACCTGCCCTGTGGTGTGTGGAGCTGCTAGCTTGCTCGCTAAGCTTTAGCAATAGCACCACAAGCAGCACAACTCTACAGTGCTGGCCTGCACTATTTAGTGTTTATTTTTTTTATGGTTTTGACATTTGACATTTAAGAATGTGAAAATGTGAAAGTGTTACTTGTTTATGTTTTAGTTAATAGTGTTACAGTAGTTGCTATGTTTCAATAATTTTGGTGCTAGCATGAATTAGCGTCTTGCACAGATTCCATTTAGGACTTCAGCTGCGTTCACATGTTTGCAGTAGATGGACGATGGCAAACCAGATATTCCATTGTTTTCAATTAAGTCGCAATGGAAAATTCTGCCACCACTAGTGGCAGAACTCCTCAGACCACAGCAGTGAGCGGAACAATCCATCAAGTGTCCAAATTTTCCCACTCTTGACGTCAACCACAGTGGTGGAATAAACTGGATGTAAATTTTTTTGGGAGCCATGGATGCCAAACACCTCGTTGAATTCCAGACAAACCTCGTGTTACACACTGAAAATAAAACACCTTAAATAAACAATCCACACTGCTAATGCTCAACTAAATAATTATCCTTTTACACTAGTAACGCTGTCACCATACCAACGTTTGTGTGACTTTATGCTACCTTCAGCTATGTACTGCTATGAGGTGTGGAATGGTGCTTTCTTCAATGCAAACATGAACACAGCATAAGCCTTCAGTATTTGTAATTTATCAAATCATAACATTTATAGAGTGGTACATTTTTAAAATGGTGATTTTTTTATCGCAAAGTGCTAATGCAGACTTTTAGCTCTATTAAAATCAGTGGAAGTACCAAGAGAAAATGGCTGATGTTGGAATGACATTAAACACTTTCGTTAATATAATGCAAAGTTGGCTATTTGGCTATTTAAAAAATCCAGCAGCACCGCTGTGACTGATTCACACACCAGCACAACACACACTAACACGCCACCACCACGTCAGTGTCACTGCAGTGTTGAGAATGACCCACCACCCAAATAATGCCTGCTCTGTGGGGGTCCTGTGGGGGTCCTGACCATTGAAGAACAAGGTAACAAAGTATGCAGAGAAACAGATGGACTACAGTCTGTAACTGCAGAACTATAAAGGGAAACTATATGGTCAGTGGAGCTGATAACATGGAGCGTAGATACATAGAAAGTGGACTCAATGAAGTGGCTGGTCGGTGTATATAACACATTTCATGCTACAATACATTCCAAACCTTGTAATACACTTGTTCTTTCATGTAATGCAAAATGTACTTGATAAATACATTTATTTTTTGCATATATTTTATCTGTATGGGATGTTCTGCTGTGGTTCCATCAGATATCCAACGCATACTGGAAGCTCCTCCCTTTGGTCACACTTTTGGAAACCACGAGCGTGTGACTTTCTGAGAAAGTAAGACAGGACTATGCGAGACGCTGGTGGGTTCCACTTCGCTGCACCCGTAAGCACGGACACATGCGGCTTAAAGCCGTGGTGAGAGCGCAGCGGTTCCAAGAAGTGTGCTTTCAAATGAATAGAAAATGCTTAGCCTGTAAACATCAGACTGTGACGCTATGCATCAGTTCAGGCATCCCTAACCACCTTAATGCATGCAGGCCTTTGCTTTTATACTGTACATATGTGCGCTGTTAGCGCAGCAGCACTCGGTCCACACAATTTTCTATAATTGTGGAGAAACTTACGCACAAATTATGGGCAAAGACTGACCTCTATCTACTGCATCTAAACCATATGGTTGATTACCACAGATGATAACCTTAATACATTTCCCCTTACCTAATCAAAGAGCTGAAAAACCATAAAGCTAAGCTGCTCATTATCTTCTGTCAGAAATGTTCACAAGTCCCAGTCTGAGTTGAGTCTTTAGTAGAGAATATTTGTTTAGTTTCGTTATTAGCTGCAGGCATTGCACTTTACACACTTCTCCATGGTTTCAAAGAACCTTATTGCTGCAGCCCGGCTGCTAGAAAAACAGCAGAGACCAGCATGGCTGGTCACCAGCAAAACCAGCATATGTTTTCATGCTGGTGTGCTGGTCAGCAGCAATGGACGTTTATATGCTGAAAACCAGCATATGTTGTGTTTTCGATGCTGGTGTGCTTGTGACAAACCAGAACCAGACCAGCATAGACGAGAATAAACAGACATAGAATATTGTAGATTGGCATAGACCATCATAGACTATCGCAGACCAGCATAAACCAGCATGGACAAGCATAAACCAGCATAAACCAGCACAGACCAGCATAAACCAGCATAGACAAGAATAGACCAGCATAGACCATCGTAGACCATCATAGACCATCGTAGACCATCATAGACTAGCATACCCCATCATAGACCAGAAAAACCAGAATAGACTACTGTAGACCATTATAGACCAGCATTAACCAGTATAGATCAGCAAAAAACAGCCTAAACCAGCAAAGACCATCTTATACAGTATAAACCAGCACAGACTAGCATAGACCATCTTAGACCAGCATAGACCATCTTAGATCAGCATTTGACCAGCATAAACCAGCATAGATCAGCATAGACCATTGTAAACCAGTATAAACCAGAATAAACTAGCATAGACCAGCATTTGACCAGCATAAACCAGCATAGACCAACATAGATCAGCACAGACCAGCATAAACCAGCATAGACCATCGTAGACCAGCATAGACCAGCATAGATCATGGCAGATCATCGTAGACCAGCACAGAACAGCAAAAACTAGCATAGATCAGCATAGAGCATGAACACCCCAAAAAAAAAAAATTGCGAGATTAGACAGTTCTATATAGAACCCTTTTTTGAATTTCTATGTAGCACCCAAAAAGGGTTCTTCTATTGTTATGATGCCAAATTTGTAACAATAAAACCCCTTTTTGGTGCTATGTAGAACCTCAAAAAGGTTCTATATAAAACCATCTACAGCACATTTTTCATCAATCTGAAGATCCTTTTCATAATGCAAAGAACCCTTTAATCATGCAAAGGCTTCTATGAGCGTTTATGGTTCTTTATAGAACCTTTTCTTTACTAAAGAACCCTTGTAGAATCATCTTTTTTAAGAGTGTGGGTCTCAGTTTCAAATAAGTCCTTCTGTGAAGTCTTGAACTCAAAGTGTGTCTATTATTATCGTAGCATCCCAGATAGCAAACTTATATCAGTCCACTGGCTCTATACTGTCAGGACCCTGCTGACTATTTGCCACTGCTGGACCACCCTCGGACCAACCAGACTGATGTCCTGCATACAAGGTCTAACTAGCTTATAATCTCCTAACACATTTTTTAAATGCACATAGACTTTTATTTTAGAAAATAAAGTAAATATTACAACTACTGAGAGAAATCAAACAAATGACTAGGCCTAATATCGTTGCTGACACTGTGCTAAACGAAAATTATTTACTAAACTAATTTACAAAGGATAACGAAGGAAAAATGAAGGAAAAATTAGTAAAATGGACTATGCGTG